AGGTGAGGAGGAGGATTATAAATTATATTCTAAATTTCCCCCCTAAAGATCACCCCTTGCCAGAGGAGGAGACTACCTCGTCCTTCATTCCCTATCACTTGAGTATACATCATTGTGGTAGGATTATGAAACCCTCAAGCTTTACTACTTGAATTTTTGACAGACATAAAAGCACTTTGAAATTGAAACTGACTATCTGACTAAAGTTAGCTGAACTGACAACTACAAAAGGAACAAACTTGAACTTGAGTGGAGCAAAGAAATCCTCAACTCTATTCTATACCAGAGACATTTTTCTTTGTTGCTTTGAATTGTGTTGAGTTTAACCATTTTCATGTAATTGATGTTAATTTGAATTCTAAAACACAGTGAAAACTGTTATTGTGGCACCAGACTGCTTGTCATTCTCCTTTAACTCCTACGAACCTATATACACTGGTCCTAAATATATTTTATTATTCTGTTAACTCTAGGTGGGTTATAGAAACAAGTACAAAGACAGTAAAATGTAAGTAGTAATATGTTGAGTAAAGTGAAATAAATGAACGTAGCCTTTATACATGAAAAGATAAGTGATGATTTATTAAAAGTTTAAACACCTTCCATGTACATTATCCAAAGGCAGAGTAAAGTATCTGTATTTTTTAAGGTGTTATGTAGGTTTTTTTTAATAATCTGCTTGTCCACCATCTTAAATCATGTCTTTCATAATCAATGAGTATGAAGCTGCATTAAATTACCAAAGCTTAGTGCAGTAAGTAAAAGTGTCCAGCAGATGTAGGTGGAACACTCATTACTGACAGTGCTGATTAGCCAACATTCACTGTGCTGCTAAAGTGTTGAGTAAATATCACCAATGTAGACAAACACAGAACATGTGTATGTATTTTGTTTGTTACATGACAGCTCTAACTTGTTTATTGTATCATTCACTGGTTCTCATATTTAGAATAATTTGGCTGCGAACAATAGATGCAAACGGATATATATACGTCCTCCCCATTCCTTCATTGACATAGAGGCTATTCACCTCTCCACACCTCTGTTATAAATATAAAACATTTAACAGCCAAATGTAACAGGGCTCACAGTGTGTGTGCAAGGCTTTTGACCGATGAGTCACATACTCTCACAAACAGAAAAGACAAGGCTGTCTAAACAGTAACCAGGCAACAGGATCAACGACCTGAAATGTAACTGTCTGAACTTTGTTTTAAAGGCTCTGTGGCTCTTCTCTAAATGTCACATGAACATTATAAAATACATGAAATGTCTGAAATGATACCACTAAACAGCTTTACAACACTTCCTCAATAAATATGCACATAATGTCCTATCTAGAATCTCTGTGCTTATGATGACATATTCAGTGTTTAGAGTAAGAGTAGGGCAAAAGCTTCATGGGAGGAGCCTGCTCCTGCCCATAAACTTTGTCTTTCTGTCTTCTGAACAATCACTTTCCTCCTTCTCATCTCAGCCAGAGACAGAACATCTTAGAAGTGAGTACAATTATAAATAACTAATTCTATTAATATATATATGTCTAATTTTATGGTAGAAAATAAGAACTTAAAATACATTAAACATCAACACAGAAAGTTGATGATTTAAATTATTTGCTTTCATGGTGTACAGTAAATGGTAAATAGACTGTACTTATATAGCGCCTTTTTAGTCTTTCAACCACTTAATGCACTGTACACTACATGCCACACTCACCCCATTCACACACATTCATACACTGATGGCAGTGGCTGCCATGCAAGGTGCCAACTGCTCACAAGAATGGAAACTAATCATTTAAACAAACTCATACACATCAGTGTATGAGTGGCAACCTATTTTTATTTCCCTATTGCTCTATTGCATGAAGATTTAGTATTGAAGTTCAGCAAAGAATAGATAGTAGTTAAAAAACACCTACAGCATAAGCATTCTTAAGCATTAAATTCCTCCCTAACACCAGATTGTCAGATCATCTTCATTTTATTTTCATTAACTCTAGGTCACTTACTCTTTACAAGCAGCAGCAAGTGATTTTCAGACTTTAAACAAAAGCGTGAATGAGTTTTTTTACAATTGTCTTTCCTTGTTAATGTTCTTCAGGGGTTACCTTGGGGAACCACAACAAATAATATTTTTTTCTGAACACAATTATATATTGTATCTCTCTCTCTCTCTCTCCCTCTCTCTTTCTCTCTCAATCCTCCTCCCCCTCTCTTTCTCTCTCTCTCTAAACCCAATTGGTCAAGGCAGACTGCCACCCACCTAGAGCAGGGGTCTGCTCGTAGTTTCTGCCTCTTAAAAGGAAGTTTTTCCTTTTCACTGTCACCAAGTGCTTGCTCGTGGTGGGAACTGTTGGGTCTCTGTAAATAATTATATACGTATGGTCTAGACCTACTCTATTTGGAAAGTGTCCTGAGATAACTCTTATGATTTGGCGCTATACAAATAAAATTGAATTGTATGTCTAATAACAATGTTTCATTCTCTATAGATATGCTTGATACCTGGATTTTATTGTTTCCCCTCCTGTTAGGTAAGTTAATGCATCCTAAAAAAACATTTAGAACTGATTTACATATTAGCATCAGTTAATCTAAACTTGTCACTCTCAAAACAGCTGCAGGGGCGAAGGCATTCATGATCCACAACACCCAGCACAGTCTGTGTCTGGAGGACTCAGCAGCTACAGGTGAAGTCCTGCTGAAGAAGTGCCACCTGGACTCAGAGTCTCAACAGTGGATCTGGATTGATCAGGGCATGCTGAAGTGTGTTGCATCATCCAGATGTTTGTCAGCCATGCAGACAGAGCCTCTCCGGACCCAGGCTTGCCAGGGGCCAAAGGTGGATGCTGCAAGGTTGATGTGGGATTGTGACAGGGACAGACTGATCAGTAGGAACACATCAATGCTGCTGTCAATAGATGGCCGACATCTGATTCTTACACATGACAGCAAACTCTCTAAGTGGAGGTCTCTGGATAAGGGTGACATCTGCCAGGAAAAACTCAGTAAGTCAGTGAGGATTACAGGTTACATTATTACAGTACAATTTGTGGAGGCAGGCACTGAAAGTTGTTTGGATCAGCTACACAAATATAAATGTTTAATCTTTTGTTAATATAGACATGCTACACATCGTTAGGTCAGTTAGATTCTCCAATTCAATTCAATTCTAATCGGAAGGTTGTTGGTTCGATCCCCGGCTCCTCCTGTCACATGTCGAAGTATCCTTGAGCAAGATACTGAACCCCAAATTGCCCCTGAATGAATGCAATAGTTTCTGTTCGATGGGCTTTGCCATCGCTGTGTGAATGTGTGTGAAAGGGCGAATAGGGCATGTGGTGTAAAAGTGCTTTGAATGGTCAGAAGACTAGAAAGGGGCTATACAAGTACAGGTCCATTTACCATTTACCATTTACCAAAGTACAATTCATTCAGATTTACCGGCATGTATGTACGTATGTCTGTATGCTGGGTGCCATAAATCTTTGGATGCCGTAAAATGATGAGAAATTTGTGAAACAAAACTCAGGAGAATCAGCACAATTAGATAGTATTTCCCATCTCTGCAGAGCATTAGAGTTCAGTGACTTTAGCAAATAAATAAAATACAGGTAAAATTTAGAATGGCAAGGATCCAGACATCAAGCTTTCTGCGTTACGGCAACTGAAATATGACTCTTTACTCAGGACATAGTTTGTTCACTTTCGTGCAGTTTCTTGGAAAGCCAATGAGGATGCTAGTGTCTTTGTATCTTGAAGATAGACATAGATTTTCTGGTGTAACCAATAATTAGTGCAGGTTTTGGACCTATTATTTCATACAGAATCACAAAATTTTAAATGGCATCTGGGATGACGGGTCTGGGGTCCAAGGGAATCTGACCAATGAAGGGCCGGTGTTTGGCCGTTTATTGCTTTCATGCCACACCTTGGCTGCATTCTTGACCCCCCGCTGAGGGGTCTGTTATCTGGCGGGCCCTTTTTCTTTGTCTTTAGTCACTACAAGCAGGCTTTATTGCTTACATACAGGCCCGACTGTAGTAATGACAATTTCTTTGTGGCCAGATCCCAACATGTTCCCTTTGGTCCACTTAAACACTTCAAATGAACAAGTTCATGTTTAAAGGTATCCTTGGATCCCAACACAGGGGGTCTTTTCTATCTACCAAAGACATCTTTCTTTGCATTGTTTGCCGAATGTTCTACAGAATACAGAACTGCTAATGCAGCTGGCTAGCCACACCGCCTACAACGGACCTACCTTTGAACAAGGCCTGGACTAAGGACTTGGCTGTTGAGGATGTGGACATAAACTGGGATACTCTTTGGAAGAATATTTCCATTACCTGACCCACCTTGACTTTGTCAGAGGGCCTACCATACCCCACTTGTGAAACTGATGGCAGAAGGGATGAACGTGTTTGGGAGATAAACAGTATTAGGAGGGGTAGTAAATGTTTTATGGTAGGAGACAACCGGTCACACACAGGTCACAGGACCATTGTGAAAGACCTAAACTGCCCATGTGTAAATTAGATTAGGAATGTAGCTAGGACAACAGCTGTATCCTGTTTAGTGATGTACAGAGGGGTATATAAGGCCAAGCATTTTAGAAGTCTAGAGGGAACGTCTATCTGTGGTTTTCCCATCCATGCTGCATAGTTAAAAGGAATTTGATTCATCCAACCCACTGGGTTTGTAATTCTTCCAGAGAACTACAACTCCTCCAGATTCATGGAAGAATTTCCCCGACACTGATTCACATTTATGTATTGTATTTATCCCCTTCCATTTAAATGTGATCTTACTCTCTCCCCCCCTAAGCTAATTAACATATATGGTCAATGTTTCTGTGAATGAGCTAAAATCGGCCCTAAATATTGGCTGCTAATTGGTAATTTAGTTCACACAGCAGCATAATAAAAAAGGTCCCACTTCAGATTTTGACAGAAGGGAATGGTGGATGGTCTAAGCAATAATAAAACTTTATTAGTATAAAACATAAAAACATGTTGATTAATCTGCCATCAAAAACTCCCAAACCCAAAATGTTCTCAAACAACAATTCGAATAATAGCTAGTATGTCGGTCCAGTATTTTCAATATGAAAGAACCAAACCACCTATTTGAGACTTGTATTCATAAAGATTGAGGTTATTGAAACATTTTTTCTAAAGTAAAATCAGCCAAAAGATCCAATACGATCAAGACGATTGTAGAAGCAGAGTTTTTTTAATTACTGTGAAGTGTATATACCCCAACTGTTGGCTTTAAATAACACAACTGGGAAGTTAAGTTAATAATTGGTTTTTTTTTAATGTTATTTATTCATAGATTAATTTAATGTTTTTCAGCAGTAAATCCCCTCCACTTATTCCTGTGGCCTCATTTTTCCAAGGTTATCAAGCGCCTTGCTCCGAGGGCTCTTCAACAGGAAGCTCGGTCGTGGTCCTTTTTCCCTTTCCTTGTGTGTTGTTTCTGGTGAGCTGCCGGCTGAAGCAAATGGTAATTTAGGTAGTAAAAACCTCGGCTAATGAACCTCAGTACTCTGGTCAAATGTTTTTGAAATGAACCTGTGCCTTATTCAGCTATGCATTTTGGTGCACAACACAACACATATACAGAACACAGCCGGCAAGGGAAGAATTGTATTGGCCAGCTTGGTCCAGTCAAAGAGCGCCGTTGACAAAGCTGAGTTGTTGTGTGTGATGTGTGTGTGTGTGGTGTTGCGCCTTGAAGACTTAAACCAACTTGTCATTTTTGGCTGTGACAGAAAAGCATTTGATTACCAACACCTGTACATGTTCCTTTTAATTAGAGCTCTTTAGTTACATTAAAAGTTCTCAATTTGTGTGACTCTCTACACACACACCCACACACACACACACACACAACACACACACACACACACACCACGTCTGCAGGCCCTGGGTGTTGCTCCTTAATTGAAGAGCTTGAGGGGAGATCATTGAAGCCAATCACCTCCTCAGGAAGGGCAGGGATCGCCCAAAGCTCCTCCCAGCTTAATGGCTAAAGTTACCTTCATTGACCTTTTCTGGCCTACGATGACACAACTACACACCACACACACAACCACACACACACCACCACACAACCACACCACACACACACACACCTCCTGTCTCTTTTGTCAATACTGTTTTGCTCATTCTGTTTTGAACAAAGCCCCTCTTCCCCGTCATGCCTCTTTACTTTCCCTCTCCAAACCTCTCATTCTTCTCCTCCTCTTCCTGTCTTTTCGCTTCCTCTCAGTGGCCTTTTTGTTTGCTTGTTTTTTTATTTTCACACCAGGCTTTTTTTCTTTTTCTTTTTCATAATCATGTTCCACAGATTAAAGAGCTTTCAGTTGGGCGTGTGAATGAATGAATGTATGACTGCAGCTCTTGTAGGGTGGCTGTGGAGCGAGGCCGTCCAGCTGATACAATATACGGTGCATGATTTGATTTGGTCAGATCACAGGGACGATAACTTAAAAGGCATGTTTGCATTAAGAAATTACTGCCAAACATCATGTTTGTTTTCTTTAGCCTTTGCCGCCCAAAGGTTGTGTTCTGTTTGTACGAATGTAAATGAATCACTTTCACTTCTACATCACATAATGAATATCTCTCATAGTTTCAATAGCTGTTCTGTTGCTTTATTGTTCGTTCTTTTTGTGCGTCGGTGCATTTCTCACTTTGAAGTAGTGCTCAAAGAAATATGTTCTTTTACAAGTACACTCACTGAGTTTCTGAGTTTGAATAGTCCCGAACATAAACAGCGTGTTTTTACACATTGTACAGGTCAAACAAACAAAATAAAGAAAATGCCCATTAGTGCGATTTAAAGGTAATGATAACTGGACATTTTACCCTTTGACACAATCAGGCTAGCTGTTTCCACCTGTTCCCAGTCTTTATGCTAAGCTAAGCTAACTATCTCGTGCTTCCGGCTTCATATTTGACAGATAGCATATAATATGTCAAACCATTCCTTTTATTACTCGATTAACTGATTAATCAGCAAGCTTTGAATCTTTTCAAGGCATTTATGGGAATAATGTTTACCATGTTTGCCATCTTAGTTGCTAACCGTTGCTAATTAGCCCAGTTGATGGGGAAAGTCAGATTTGCAGGTATTTGGTCAACTGAAGTTGGCGTTAGATGAAAAATCAGAGGGTGACAAAAGTTTTTATAAATTACGCTGAAGGGGAACAGTGAGCCAAATTTTATTGCCTCATCCAATATTTTCGGGATATTTCACTCAATCTCAAATGTGAACGTCAGTAGGGTTCATCCTCTGGGAAACATGAATATCTGAATGTTTTACACGATTGAAAACTGAACATTTTTGGATTTAAGACGTTGGCCGGACATTTTTCACTATTTTCTAACCTCCTATAGACTAAATAATTGATCAAGTGATTGAAAAAAGTGACTAATAATGGAATTAATTGCTATTTCCACTGAGTTTTCTTTAGGTAACATTGCCATGAAATTCCTTCCCTGTATGTACTGTATCTTCTGTGTGTGTATATGTACATACCTCCGAGTGTGTGTGTGTGTGTGTGTGTCTGTTGGCCTGGCAGGGTGCCAGCTCCCTGTACGAGCATGATCCTGGCTACAGAGCGCTGATTGTGCGCTGTGGTATGGGATGTATGCCGGGCTCAGAGAGTGTTGGGCGCTGCCTAAAAGAACGGAGCAGCCACCCACCAACCCACTGGGGTTACTGAGGGCATAGGAGGAGGAGGGAGTGTTTCCCTCCTTTCACACACTCCTTCTTATTTGTTCGCTTTTTTTTTTCTCCTCCTCCTTCCTCACACACTCTTCCAGGAAAACATTTGAGCTTCTCTTTTTGCTTTATTTGAGTTTTTTGTGTGTGCGCCGTTTTCTGCATTCTTCTCACTCACTGTTTGTTTCCCTGGCCTTTTTTTCTCCGTCTGTCTCCTTCTCCCGTGTAAATCCCCCCCCCCAGGTAATTGTCTTGATGTCTACACCGCTACCTCTCCACCATGATATGTGTGTGTGTGTGTGTGTGTGTTTCACTGGGTTCGGGGTCACAGCATCGCTCAGCTGCTACTTCTCTAACTGGGTTTGTCTGTAAAGAGCTTAGCCCCTGTGGGCGTTGGAGAGCACTAAGCTGATTACCGTCTACTAACGAGCCACTTCTCACATGAAGACCGTGTATGTGAGTGT